GGCGTATTCTTTTTCTTCCCTTAGCCTTGATTATGCTTTCTATTAGACTAACTAACATTAACTAGACTGACTACAGAAAAAGACACACTGTGCACACGAGTGATGATCACTCCGCCGCCGCTATTCTTTAGTGCACTTTAGTGTCCGGTGTGCTATATTTACTGCTGGTGAGCTTCGCCTGGCGAAAATTGGGTAATTGCTTTTTGTCTCTCACTTTTTCTGGTATCTCTCCTATCGGTGATAACTGGTGGTTCATGTGAAAAAGAAGACTGACCTCAGACCTTCTCTCTCTCTCACTATCCATCCAGGCCACGCATTGGCACACACACACGCAAACACACCTGAACACACCTTCAGAGCGCATTGCACCTCTTTCGTTTTCGCCCTTTTCTGGTTAATGACAAGACATTTAATCAGGTGAGCACCAGGTTTCCTCACCACATATAGCAGCAGCAGCAGCAGCAGCTGTGAGTCATTGAGCTTTCGCCTTGTGACTTTGGCTGCTATACTGTCTTGAGATGATTAGTATCTGCTGGTGCTGCTGCTGCTGCTGTCATGATTATCATCAGTTGCATTAGTTGCTGACTGATGTGTGGTGTGTATAGCAGTACATTTGTTGTACTTGGTTTCTCCTGTCTCCCTTTCTCTCCTCGTCAGCCTCTCTTTTCTCACCTGATCCCACCTTTCCTTTCCACCACCCACAACAGCCTCAGCGATTGCCTCCAGCACCATCAACACACTAGTACCTCTTCAGGCATTGCCTCATGTTGTGATACCGACACAGAGCAGACATACCTTTACCGACATTCCCTGCTGCTGTTGGTGGCCACTTACCCGTTCGATGAATAACTCATTCACCTCACCACTTTAGTTCACTGCTCACTCGTTCGTTCATTCATTCCTGTTTTTCCCTTCTCCCTTCATTCATTCCCGTTCGACGGCTACCTCAGAGCAGTCAGCTCCTTTTTGAGCTGTCGGCATTTAGCTGTTGCTATTTAAGCGTGATTTTCATCATTTGTAAATATTTACACTTTTCCAACTTCTTTTTTGCCTCTTTTAAAAAAATAGTGACAACTGTTCCCCCTTTCTTTTTAGTGATACTTTTCTGCATTTTGCTTTTTATTTGAGAAGAAGAAGCAATTGAAAAGCTACAAAAAAAAGAAAACAGAAAATGGCTCTCAAATCCTGGCCCTCACTGTGGGGCATCGGCCTCTTTGCCGTCTACTTCCTCTACCGAGATGTGCAGCTGTACAAGACCATCCAGGCGGAGTCGAGGTTCAATGTACGGTTTTCTTATTATCATCAAGTATTTCAAGTGAACCTTCTAAAATTCTATTTCTTTTTACCAGATCACCGAAACGGTCAAATCAGCGATGCTCGATCACGTCAACTCCTACCTTCTGCAGCCGATCAACGAGGCGCTGGTTCGCGTGACCAGCTTCCCCGCCCTGCTTCCGAATCTCTCCGCCAATCACGTCTCCTACCTGGGCGTCGTCGTGGCGCTCATCTCCGCCCGCCTCGCCCTCAGCGAGCACCTCTACATTAGGCGCATTTCAGTTCTGGTCTTCATGGTCCGCCAGTTCCTGGACGACCTCGACGGCCTGGTCGCCCGGTATCATCTCGGTTTTGACACTACCAAACAGGTAAGTTTTTAAAAAAAGATTTTTTGAAGTCTTTTTAATCACTTCCGGTTTTTTAGCTGACCATCACCAACACCGGCGGCTACATCGTCGACGGCATCTGCGACGCCATTGGCTTCTTCGCCTTCTGGCTGGCCATCACCGTCGGTGCCCTTCACCGCCAGACGCTGTACAGCCCCGGTGGCGGCTGCGGCGGAAGTGGGAGTGGCAAGACGAATGTCCTCCTCTCCAACAGCACCTACTCCCTTCTGACGACGACGCCCCCGCCGGCGAGCATCTTCAAGCGCCGTCTCCTCAAGTACTACGCCCTCATCCTCGGGCAGATGGTCCTCAGCGCCATGTTCTGGAACCTCTTTCTCGTCAAGTACCACGACCTCCTAGACCCTAGTTTAAAAATGGGTGGAGGAGGCGGAAACGCCCACAGCCACGACCGAACGCCCCTCCAGGAGGAGATCTTCAAGTCCTCGCTGATGTTCACCATAATGTGGCTCTGGAGGTGCCTGAATCCTCACGCGTTGACCATCTTCTTCCTGGTCGCCGTGTGGTTGAACATGCAGACCGCTTATGCCAGACGATCCAGTCAGTACGTCTTTGCGATCATTCTGGGCGTCTCCTTTCTCTGTGAGATGCACTACCAGGATGTAAATCAGCGATTTGTTGGAGGTGGTGGAAGTTTCTAATTCTTTAGATCTGAAAAATGGTTTGTTTTGGGCTAATTGAAAGTTTGATGGGAATTTTTCGTAGTGTTCCCGATTCCTAGTCCACGAGGCAGCACAGCAGCATTCCTTTTGTACATTTTTTTCCATTTCATTGGACTTTTTGCAAGTTCTAAGCATTATCATGCTCACCATCATCATCTTCATCATCAGCATCAGTAACGACAACCACAACCGTTAGCTTAATTTGTCTCGTTTTTGACTGTACAAATTTTTATCATTTTATTTTTTGTAAATCATGTAATCAAACAAATTACAATAAAGCAAATGTTTATAATGTAAAAAATAAATTGTTGTAGAAACAGTTTTAGTTAAAGAATGTGGTGAGAAAAAGAGCACAATGAGTTATTTTTTTAAATTAATCAAAGTGATCAAAGGTGAAAAAAGGTATGTTTTTATTTTTAACAGTGAGAAGTTGTGGATAATGCATATTTTCAGAAAGAAATTCAAGCTCAGTCCAACCTTTCTCGTGCGAGTATTTTTCAACATTTTTGCTGTTTTCTGTAAAAAATGGTGAACTGTTAATTTGTATTTTATTTTAATAAATTTAGTTTTGTAGAGTCCTGGCAAAGCGCCATGTAAAAACGCTATGTGAGGTTTATGGTTTAATCACTGTACATGTTGCCAAGTCAATTACTAGCTAGAATAAGGTAAAATAGTGCGGTACAGTCGCTTATCAAGTGTTGACAAAATTCTAAAAAATTTAAAAACTTTTTTAATTTACCTGTTTTTCTTCCACCGACAACATACAGCTCTCCATTAAACTCGATTGCTGCATGTCCATGCCGCCCTACATTCATCGGTGCCTCCTCTCGCCAGGTGTCAGTCACTGGGTCGTAGGACTCACAACTACTCAATGGTTGACGGTTATCACCTTTCAGTCCTCCAATAGCCCAGAGACGGCCTGCAAAGGAGGTGAGAGCCAAGTTGATGCGAGCAGTGGTCGTTGGTGCCACCAGTTTCCACCTTTTTAGTTTGGGATCGTACTTTTCAACTGACCGCTCACTTCCATCTCCATTCCATCCACCAGCAATGTAGATGCAGCCATTGAGGACGGCTGCAGAGGCATCTACACGGGGACTGTTCATCGGTGTCACTGTCAACCACTGGTTCAGTTGACTGGTATATCGTTCACAACTGCGAATAGGGAAATCTTGAAATGAATCATTTTCTCTATTTTTGCCACCAAGAACGTAGATGTTATCATTGAGAATGACACTGGCAAAAGCACATCTGCTGTAATTCATGTTTGCCATGGCTGTCCAATAAGACGAGCCCGAATCACTGAGATCACGGCTCCACACCAGTTTGGTGGGATGACCGGATTTCCAACCGCCAAATGCGTACAACACACTTTGCTCGGTGCCAATCAGTGCAAGACGAAAATAATCTTGGTTGTTTGGCAGATTTAAGGGAACTGGTGATACGTGCCAACTATGAAGATGGTTGTCGTAGAACTCCGCTAAACCCTTTTCTCTATCAATGCAAACAAGAAGGTACTCTATTTTTGCTGATGAGTGAGTTCCTCTTTGACGGAAGTAAAAATCACAAGATGAACTAAACAAACTAAAATTATAAGTTGTTGTTTGCTTGCAGTTTTGAAGGACAGCGCTTGTAAAATCTTTCAAACCACATTGGACAGCATTAGAAAGCTCCATAAAAAGATCACACTCAAAAATGAAAACATCAATAAAATGTTTATCTAAGCGACCAAATCGAAGGCAGTTGTAAATTAGATCTGGCAAGTGTTCAAGCCGATTGGTTTTATCAAAGTTGACCCAGTTGTGTATTGTTTTCCAGACAGTGTATTCGCTTTTAACGTTTAGCATATCAGAAGAAAGAATATTGGAAAGTGTTTCATAATCAAGAGACAAGATAGAAAAAAATTCATATTTATCATGCCAAATCTAAAAATATTGTAAAATTAAAAATGTTTTGGCATAATTTTAAACTAATCAACATGAATGTAATTCAAATTTTATAATTTTTAAGTCAACATTACCTCTTCAAAATTTTTAATAAACCAAAGAATTTTGTCTGAAACATTGATGGCCATTTTTAATATGTTCGATTTAATTTAAAAACCGATAGTTTAAGCTAAATGAAAGTTAAAACTAAAAAATGTCAAGTTTAAAAGTTAAAAACTTTGACGACAAACCTTGACTGCATTTATCAGTTATATTTGAGCGTTAACTTCAAAGCCACTCAACAAATTAAACAATTGTGCAACTAAAAAACTTTTTTACATTGCAATAAACTTATGACATGATTAGTTATCTAATAAAAACTTTGGAATAAAAGAAATGAGACATTTTAAAAATTCAAACATTTTTAAATATTTGAACATTTGCGCCATCTAAGGACTAGATTAAAGACTATAATTTGGAGTGGCGAAAAGGCTGCCGACTAACTCAAGTGGGCTGAGCCTGAATAGCAGCGACTGTACTCTGATCAAGCTGACTTTGCACTGCTTTACTCCGCCTCGAATCAGTTTTCAGCATTCGTTGCAGCACACTGGCAAATGCCAAAGCATGTTTTTGTTCACACTGTGAAACTCGCTCCTTTGGAACAAAAACATTCTGTCAGATCTTCTTCCTCTTCAAGTGCCGATCATCATCTCGAAGGAATAAGATCACCGACAACAATGTCAGACTACGGTAACTACAGCAGCGAGGAGGGCTCGACTGGGGAAATAGGTAAATGCTGTCTTTTTATTTGGTTGTTTTGATAGATTTTATACCGTTTCCCTTGTTTTCATTCACTTTGCAGACTTTCCCAAAACTCCCGGTCAGCCGCAGCAGGAGCAGCAAGAAGGTGGCGAGAATGAAGTTGACATGGACAGCGACGGAAGCAGCAGCAATGGCGGAGGCAGCAGCAGCAGCGACGAGAGCAATGCTGAGAGCGACAAAAGCGACGACAACATCAGGAGAAGCAGCAAAAAGAACAAAATCAGTGACGACGACGAAGAAGTGGAGGAAGAAGGTGATAATAATGATAAACACAAAGACAGCGACCGAGAAAGAGACTCCGACGGAGCCGGTGACAGAGACGAGGAGATGCGGGACATTGAAGGAGGAGAGGAGGAGAATGGCGAACCTAGTTCCGCCAATGCTGTCCCGGATAACACTGACAACCGAAACAACAACGTCGACGATGAGGACGACGACGATGATGATGGCAATGACGAGGCGAGGCAGCGTCTGCTCCGCCTGGAGAGCCTCGGCCTGGACATGGAGGACGACGATGAGGAGGCGGGGGCGGAGGCCGGCGAGCGCCAGGAGGTGACTCGAACCGAGGCGGAGGCGCCGCGGATGAAGATCAACTTCAAGGCGGAGGAGTTCAAGTCGGTGGACTACGTGAAGCTGCCCAACTTTCTCAGCATCGACACGCATCCCTTTGATCCGCAGACGTACGAGGACGAGGCCTGCGACGATGATCGGCAGGACGACGAGGGCCGCGCTCGGCTGAAACTGAAGGTGGAGAACACCATTCGGTGGCGGCGGGTGGTGGACGAGGACGGCAACGAGGTGGACCGGGAGAGCAACGCCCGCATCGTCCGCTGGTCCGACGGCACCTGCTCGCTCTACCTGGGCGATGAGATCTTCCACATGACCAGGCAGTCGCAGGGTGGTGATAATAATCACCTCTTTATTCGCGACCAGGCGGGCTGGTCGGTAAGTGTACACTGATTACTTTTAGTACCTTGTGTTCTTCAGGCCATTCTAAATCACTTTCTAAAACAACCACAGGCGCAGAGCATCTTCAAGAGCAAGCTCACCTTTCGCCCCTCCTCCACGGACAGTGTCACCCACCGGAAGCTGACGCTGTCGCTGGCCGACCGCAGCCAGAAGACGCAGAAGATCTGCGTCCTGCCCAGCGTCGGCATCGACCCGGATGCGCACCGCTCGGAGATGATCAAGAAGGAGGAGGACCGCCTGAAGGCGTCCATTCGCAAGGAGAACCAGACACGGCGGCTGAAGGACCGCGTCTACACTGGTCGGACGGGAATCAACTCGAGCTTCCTGGAGGACAATGACGAGGACGATGAGAGCATCTCCATCGCCAAGATTAAGAACCAGTACAAGAGCGGTGGTGGTGGTGGTCAGTCGCAGTCGGCAGTGTACAGCAGCAGTGACAGCGACTCCAGCGATGATGACTTCAAGGGCAAGCGACGCCACTGAAACCTTTTGGCGGACTGGTTCGCTGTCTCAACTGTTCACTTGTAAATCCATCACAAAGCTCGCTCTCCTCATTCATTAAACGATCACTTGGCCATTTTATACTCTTCTGATGACTCGACAGTTTATTAAAATCATTCATTTAGTACTTTATTTTCATTTCTGACAATTAAATTGGATAATTTCACAAGTCGGCAGTTTGCGTAGTAAATAAAACTAAACAGGTTCCACTTGACACCACCTTTCTTTGTTTCTGAGGGTCGTATTTTTCAACTGACTGCTCATATCTTCGCTTCAAACCTTGTCGTCAGCAATGTAGACATTTTATTGGCACTGGCTACTGGTTTTGGTCGGTTGTGAAGAAGGACGAGCAAATGGGTGATAGGAGCAGAAGTTGAGGTTTACGAATTATATATTGCAGAGTACTGTCTTCTACCCATCTTTTAATATTGGGCACATATTTCTCGACGATTTTAGTTTGTTCTAACACAAATAAAAATGATTATCAAATGCTTGTTTGGTAAAAAGGACTTTTTCATTAACTTTGTCTTACCAAACCGTTTCCCCCCACCAACGACATACAGTTCTCCATTGAATTCAATTGCTGCATGTTCCCATCTTCCCTCCTTTATCTTTGCCTCCTCTCGCCAGGTGTCAGTCACTGGGTCGTAGGACTCACAACTGCTCAATGGCTGAACGTCATAATCCCCACCCCCTATGGCCCAGAGACGACCGGCAAAGGGGGTCAGGGCAAAATTGAAGCGAGCAGTGGTCATCGGTGCCACCTTCCTCCAGGTGTCACACTCAAAGCAGTACTTTGAGACTGACTTTTCTCTCCCTCCTCCAGCAACATAGATGTATCCATTGATGACTGCTGCTGAAGCACCTTTACGTTCACTGTTCATGTCTGCCACTGTTGACCACTCATTCAGTTGACTGTTGTAGCGTTCACAACTACGGAGATCGTGTTTACTGTCCCTTCCACCTAGAGCGTAGATGGTGTCATTGAGGACGACACTGCAAAACCCCCATCTGCTTTGTTTCATGTCTGCCCTGGCTGTCCACTGAGACGAAGGATCACTCAGGTCACGACTCCACATCTGATTGGTAGCTTTCGTGCCATCCTCACCACCAAATGCGTACAACATACTGCCAAGCAGTGCAAGATGATATTTATATTGTTTAGTTGGCAATTTTAGTGATAATGAGGATGAGCGCCAACTGTTGTCCTGCTGATCGTAATAAATAACTGAACCATTACGTGTGTTAAGGCCATACTCGATTTACTGAAAAGTGAGCTTCCCTGCGCCGTC